TCATCCTCCTGCTTTATTTCTAAGGTTTGATAATTTTTAACACTTCCAATCTAGCTTTTGTTAGTAACAAATATGATCGAAAGACAGGAATTGATAGTAGGAGAATGTACTTTGTTTTGTACAAAACAAATTGTTTGAGATTAAAAAAAAATGTGTTTTCTTTGATTCTAACTAATGCCATTTGCTTTTGTAACCGTGCTTGCTTTTAGTTGTTTGTTAAATATAAGAGTAAGAGCAGCAGTGACTCCATGACAAGCTGAATTTTCTGGAATAGGCCTAAGTTTCAGTTTCCCCGAAACCAAAACGCAGACCACAACTGGCTCCGGCGGGAAAATTGAAAATCCCGAGGCTTGGAGCCAACCAATCAGGAGTCAAAACAATCTGCCACTTTCAAAGGAACCAATGGACTAAGGGGGGAGGGCGGATGGTGTGCCCAGCGTGTTGTGTGGAACCTGCGTGTCGTGTGCCACCGGTGTGTAGTGTACAAAAGAAAGTATAAAAGCTTCACTTTTACCCCAGGGCAGGGTCCTGGTTCATAGGAGAGGCCACTGGGTTGGTGCTCTGGGACTTGGACCCTAGCTCAAGCTAGCCAATAAACTCCTTTGCCATTTGCAGCCTCGGTGACTCTGCCTCTCTGTTCCTGGGGCCGAGGGGAACCGGCTCTAACATGATATTTTAATTTTTATCTCCATTTTTTTGAGTTACCTATCAGTTGATGCTGAATTCAGACCCCCTCAAACACCCAATATCTGGTATCCCCAAAATAGGCTTAAAGGATCTGTTGTTTGCGGGGCATAGTGGTGTACCTGGAGTCCCAACTACTTGGGAGTCTGAGGCAGTCTTAAGTCCAGGAGTTCAAGGCTGTATTGAGATATGATTGCTCCACTGCACTCCAGCAGTGGCTAGAGTGAGAGATGCTGGTTCTAAAAAAAAAGGGGATCCTTTGTTTTGGAAAGGGAGGCTCCCTTCCCTTAGGCCAGAAAGACATTTGATGCATGGCAACAATAACCAAAGCCTGCTGGCAGTGTCAGGCCCAACGCATCATTGTTAAAACCTATTACAGCAACAAAATGGGCATAACAGATTTGTGAGAGGCCAGGAATATTTGTGTACAGTTGTTCCTTGGTATCCTCTGAAGACTGGTTCTAGGACCCCCAGGGGTACTGAAATTTGCTGATGCTCAAGTCCCTTAAGTAAAATGGTGTAATGTTTTCATATAACCTATGCAAATATCCTATATCCTCCTGTATACTTTCAATCATTTCTAGATCACTTATAATGTCTAACACAATGTAATACTATGTAAATTGTTGTCATACTGTGTTTTTTTACTTCCATTATTTTTTATTGTGTTATTGTTATTTTCTTCCCGTATATTTTTGATTCACTGTTGGTTGAATCCCAGGATGCAGAACTGGCAGATATGGAGGGCCAGCCGACTGTAATTATTCTTCACTCTTCCGTGTTATAAAGAGGTTTAAAGGAAGAGACAGTAGAGGTAAAAAGTAGCAGAGATATAGATTGGGAGAATCAGATGAGGTAACCTGAAGACCCCAAGCCTTTTTGCACTCCTCTAGATAAATTGTGCAAAGCTGTTGTAGGGTATTTTCTCACCAAGGGAGCAAATATCAGT